CAGATGTCTATCTAACCTGTTCTTAAATATCTCCAGAGAGGGAGATTCCACCACCTCCCTTGGCAATTTATTCCAATATTTGACCACCCTGACAGTTAGGAATTTTTTCCTAATGTCCAATCTAAACCTCCCTTGCTGCACTTTAAGCCCATTACTCCTTGTCCTGTCCTCAGAAACCAAGAGGAACAAATTTCCTCCTTCCTCCTTGTGACACCCTTTTAGATATTTGAAAACCGCTATCATGTCCCCCCTTAATCTTCTTTTTTCCAAACTAAACAAGCCCAGTTCATGAAGCCTGGCTTCATAGGTCATGTTCTCTAGACCTTTAATCATTCTTGTCGCTCTTCTCTGTACCCTTTCCAATTTCTCCACATCTTTCTTGAAATGTGGCGCCCAGAACTGGACACAGTACTCCAGCTGAGGCCTAACCAGCGCAGAGTAGAGTGGCAGAATGACTTCACGAGTTTTGCTTACAACACACCTGTTGATACAATCAGGAGTAATTCCAGTGAAGACAGTGCTCACTTACACCACCCCTGGTGCCATAAGAATGGCAAGACTGGGTCAGACCGAAGGTCCATCTAGCCCAGTATACTGTCCGTTGACAGTGGCCAATGCCAGATGCCGCTAGAGGTAATGAACAGAACAGGGACTCAAGTGATCCCTCTCTTGTCGTCCATTTCCAGCCTCTGGCAAACTAATAGCCGCTGATGGACCTAACCACCAACTTTTGGGTCAGATCTTCATCTAGTATAAGTTATTATTTTCCTAATTATGCAATTAAGGAAGTCTGTATATGAAGGCTGCAATCCTGTCTCCATGAAAGACAACAGGCATTTGGCCATTTACTTCATTTGGGGCCCCAATTCCACCCTATGTGATTCATTTACATGTGAAAGAAAATAGGGTTTTTGTTACAAAGAGGAGTTTAATTACTGTCTTTCAGTGGTGCGTAAGGTGACTGCAGCCACTGCCCTGCTGGATAGGTTTGCCTTCAGATACAAACCAGAACTAAACGGTCTACAGGCTCCAGGCACTGGCAGCAAAACATACACTTTCAATGGAGATGACTTTTGCTGGAGATAAAGGAAGAAGCATCATCATCCCCAGGAGAGAAAGAGTAGAGTTTTGCTCTGTCTCTGAAGAAGCAGCATCATCCCCAGGAGAGAAAGAGTAGAGTTTTGCTCTGTCTCTGTCTCCATCTTGAACTGACTCTCAGTCTTGGTTTCCCACCCCCAGCATCAAGAGTCCCTCCCTTGGTTCTCACGTGTTGAACCAACACTCATCATGGTCATGTCTAAGCGTCTTCCATATAAACTACAGCAATAGCAAAGTCCCCAAAGGACTTGAGGGGCTCTCTCACATGCCTTCCATTTTAGGATAAAAATGCTGCTTGGGGTACGTTTTTGGTTGTTTGCTCAGTAAGTATTTGGAGGAAGAAGGGGATTGTAAGTGTTTTCAGTGACTTTTGTATGACAGAAAGGCTTCTGTTGGTGCAATACACAGAAAACAAAGTCTCTCCCTCATGTCTAAGTAGCTACATACACTGCAGAATGCAAGATGATTTCAGTGGCTTTATTAGCTCTGGCATAAATATTTGCAAAGGACAAGAATTTTTTTGGGAGGTGTCTCAAATCAACAGTAAAATGCCTGCTCCTTGTACTAAAAGAAATCCAGAGGATCTGTGTTGCTAAGAAAGAAAGTGTTAGAGAGCAAAAGTTAGATAGCTAGATAGCAACCCACTGGTTTTTAAAGGGAAAG